AGTGTGGCTGAATGAGAAACAGCTGGAAGGTGATAGCGTTTGTGAAGCTATGATCTGTGAAATAGCCAGGAAATTGCACAGTGATTTACTGCAAAAAAAACCCCTCTACAAGTGCAACGTGGAAAATTTAAAGCCAGTAGAGGGTGGTTTGATAAATTCCACAAGAGAAGTGGCATCCACAGTATGGCAAGACATGATGAGGCTTCCAATTCTGACAAGGCCACTGCAGAAGCCTACAAGAAAGGCGACTTCTGGCGCGGTCTCTCAGTTCCAGAGGGCTATGCAGCTCAGCGCAGGAAAAAACAAGTGACATTAGACAGATTTTTTTGCCAAAACTGAGCCTGCAGCTAAGAAGAAGGACAAAGAAGAGGAAACTCCTGAAGGAGATCTCCCCAAGGTCCTTATGGAGGGGGACTCTCCCTCCAAACAATAACCACCTCCCCACCCACCTTCCTGTCCCCCACGCCAGAAGTCGCCTCAAGCAAGTTTAGCGTTCTCTCTCTTCATACTGTACTGTACTGTACTTTATTTCATATTTTTGTGGTTAAAAAAAAATAACATGTGGTTCAGAACGGATTAACCTTATTTACATTGAACCTTATGGGGAAATTGGATTCGGCTCGCGACCAGAATCGTGGAACGAATTGTTCGTGAACCGAGGTACCACTGTATGCTTTTTAAAATGAAGCCTATGCGGACTACTTTCCTAATATTTCCAAGGCTCGTATTTTGTGAGACCCGGATCTCCCCGCTTTTTGAGTCACTACATCAATGCCAGCCCTTTAAATGAGAATCAAGGAGTGGGTGCTGCTGCTGTGAGCTGCGAAGATGACCAACCAGCCCTGTCCTTGGGAGAAGCTTATTTACATAATTTCAGGCAGAGAGAGCAGGGTAGACTGCAGCTGCACCGTGGGAGCCTCGCTAAGCTCTGAACAGGAGGATTTGTTGAGGAAGTTAGAAGTTCTTATGCAAATGTTAACCACAGAGCACAAGACAGCTGCCCCACAAATTCACTTGGTCGCTGTGCCAGCTACAGAAGGCTGCAAAACTAATATCAGTTCATCTCCAACACCCCTCAAAGACAGGCAATGAGACAGACAACCAAGTCCCTGATGACTTGAATACCCCACTGGAAAATGCAAATGCAGTCCTACGAATTACAAAGATTGTAAATCTGCACTGACTGGTCTCCAGCTTAGCTTCCTTAAAGGGCATTGGATATCTGCTATAGGTTGCTGCAGTGCAACCGGTGGCAATGCAGGAGCCGCCGGATCTAACACACACACACACACACCCCAGTGTTTCTCAGGAAGTGTCTACAGCAGCCTTTCTCAACGTTTTGACTCTGGAGGAACCCTTGAAATATTTTTCAGGCCTCAGGGAATCCCTGCACATTCAGGCTTAAGTATAGGCCAGAAGTTACAAAATTACAGTATTATATCTGTTTCATGGGTAGGCCTGTTTGTATGCATTAATAGTATTCTTCAACTAAAAATAAAGAAGGAAACTTATCTGTTTAAAGTGAAACCCATGCTTGTTTCTTGCTGCACAAATACTCCATTCTGGGCCAGACTTGAGTTTTGGAGGTCAATTTGTAGGAAATTTTTGGCCTTTGTGGGTTGCGTTTGCTTTGGACTATTTTGGGCTACTTTTAAGGGGGTGCAGAGTTTTTGAGCGATATATCAAACTGTCATGAATAATAACTGTAAAATACTGAGTCAGGTCGGCTGGCCTCCTCCCCTCTCCCTGCACCACCAGCCCCTCGTTCCCCAAATCCAGCTTCTCCTTTCTCGGCCCCCCTTCCACCTCCTCCCCCAAGGACCAAAACGAGTATTTTCTGTCTCCCCACAGCAGCAGCTTGCTCAAGAACGTGCCAACATGTCTGACTT